CCCCCCCCGCCGGCCCCTGACATGGCTCCTTTCGGTGCAGGGCCTCCCGGCTGCTTCGGCTGCTTCCAGGCAGGCAGTGCTGGTGGCGGTGAGTACGCGGCTGACGGTCGGGCAGTGTAGGCAGACACCTGCCCAGGGCCTCGCGCCTGCCTGGGGCAGTCCCCTGTGACCCGTGTCCTTTCATGTGTGTGCGACTTACTTCGCAGGTAGCCACAGGGACGCGCCAAGTGGCTTCCGCAGTGTCTCCTGGCTATCCAAAGAAGCCGGGGAAGAGGCGGGTCATCCCTGACCCGTGGGAGGGCGATGAGCTAGCTGCTGAGTAGCTCCCGCCAGCCCCCACCTGTGCCAGGCTGCGGCGTCCCCCGGCCTGACGGCTGCCCTTCCCTTATAGCACCCACGTTGGGAAGAGCCTGGGACTAGCGGGGAAACGCTGAGCGGCGATGTGCATCAGGACCCGCAGGGGCAGGCCGCAGGGGCCTGGCAGCTCGCGCAGTGGGGAGCCACGTCCCTGCGCTCTTCCTGGCATGCAGGGCTGCGGATGCGCCCACTGAAGCTCGGCCTTCCAGGCCCTGGTGTCGGAATCGGGGTGGACACCTGAGAGAGCCCCAGGGAGTACCCCGCAGAGCCACACGACTGCGTCCAGAGGAGCTGTGCCTGGCGGCCGCGCTGCCAAATACACCCCTAGAATGGTTCTCGGGTGTCCTCAGAACCCTGCATCTCAAGCGTCCTTGCCGCACAACCTCCCCAGTGATGTCACCTGCAAGTGGGCTGGACACATCTCTCCCAGTAAGGTAGCAAGGGGTCCTCACCCTCCATGGCTGCAAGAGCTGATGGTTTCCCCAGCTCGGGAAGAGGCATGAAAGAGGCATGAGCCGCCGCGCCCCTCTGGCAGAGAAAGCCCTGTCGGAGGGCCACGCGCGCCTCCGGTACCGGCACACCTCCCTGCTCATCTGGCAGCAGCAGCAGCAGCAGCTGGAATCGGCGCCGCCGGGGACGTACCTGAGCCGGAGCCGGAGCATGTGGTACTCCCAGTACGGAAACGAGGCCATCCTGGTGCGGGACAGAAACAAGGTCTCCCGCGACACCGGCCAGTCCCGGTTTTGCACAGTGATGTGAAAGCCTGCTCCCAGGTGCCAGCTGAGGAAGGCGGGCCTGCATCGTTTGGAGGTCATGCCAACTCTAACCGCGCCGAGAAGTCTGCGTCGTGATCACGCTGTGGGGTGACAACTGGCCCACGAGGAGGCTTCTAGCAAGTCACCCTCACAGTCAATGTCATAACATGGCAGTCCCCAGGGCCTGTCAAGAACAGCCTAGGCCTGGCCACTGCTAGGTGCCACCCTGTCATGTCCCCACATAAACGAGGCAGGAGTCGGACCCCCACTGTGGTTACAAGCAATCTTTATAAGTTTAAAAATAAGCAAAACAGGGGGGCCAGCAGTTAGCGTAATGGCTATGTCGCTCGACTCCCATGTAGCTGACCGCAGTTCGCATCCTGGACCCGGTGGCTTAAACTCATACCAGGCGCGTGTGCATGCGTGCCCAAGATCCCGAGAGGAGAATGGAGGAGAAGGGATTGCGGTGTGGCCATCCCCCCTGGGGGGTGATATCTTGCTTTCTGTCTCTCTATGTCTGTCTGTCTGGCAAGCACATGCGCCCTATGGCAAAAACCTCTCCAAAAAAATAAATAAGCAAAACAGGGACCATCAGACATAATGGTTACGTTGTTGGACTCCCACACAGTTCTGTGGTTGGAGTCCCAGTCTGGCCTAATTCCAGACCCTGCTGGGCACATGTGTGCCCCACAGCCCGAGAAAATGGAGAAGGGATTGCGGTGTGGTCATCCCGGTGATTTCTCATTTTGTCTGTCTCTCTCTGGTGAGCACTCACACACACCCTATAGCAAAAATCTCTTAAAAAAAAAAAAAAAGAAAAGAAAAAGGTGTATTTCTTCCCTAAGAGACAGGAAGCCCCCACAGGGGGGGCAGTCCTCCCCCACTCAGCCAGCCCAGATCCTGCACAGGGTGTGAGTACCCGTGTGCTAGGGTGGGAACCGGGACATGAACCAAGGCCTTTCCCACATAGGTCCATTCGTGTTACCACTGCGCCATCTGGTCTTTTGGAGTCACTTTCGCCTGGCAGGAGGGTCAGGCCCGTCGTGCATGGTCTGAGGCCACTGCAGAGGCCTGGCTGGTGCTGGCAGGCCGCAGAAGCGGGCCGGAGCTCTGCGGCATCTCGGCCTAGCTGCCAAGTGGGCGTCCTGTGTGGCGCAGTGACTTGCAAACACTGGGGGCTCCCCGGCCAGCACCTACAGGGCTCGCCTGGGAACCCCAACATTTCAGGTTCCGTGTGAGTCGCCTATAGTGACTTTGAACCGGGTAATGTGGCCGGAAGAGGCAGGTTGACCAGGGAGGCTGGGGTACTGCCAGCTCTGCACCAGGCTGCCGCTCCCGTCTGCAGTGCTCGCCGTGTCAGTCACAGCCTGCGCCCACACCCGGTGAAAACTGCCAGCACGGTGTGCCCGCCACAGTCCGTCATCTCTTGGCACTGCACGGGTAGTCGTGTTTTGTCAAAGCTGATTCCTCTCGTCTAAATAAACGCCCTTCGGGACGCCCCTCCTCACCGTTGTCTGTAACGCTGTCCCGGGCCCCGCCCTTCTCATCAGTGGTAGGTGGTGGCCAGGTCCCGGCACAGGTGCACACAGCAGAGCTGACGGGACGTGTGCGTGTCCACTCCGACGGTCATGCACAGGTCTGCACCCGCAGCCCCCGGCAGACTGGCTGTTCCACTCGTGCTGTGGCTGGCACGCTCTGCAGCATCTGGCTTGGCGTGTGTAGAGCTGCATGCCTGAACGTGGCCACACTTGCCCCCACGCTCCCTGCCACTGCACCAGTTCTCGTGAACATCCTGGCAGCGGAAGTGCGGAGTCCAACTACCGTCCGAGAAGGGTCAGCCTCAGCCTGCCGTGGCCTTTGTGCTGACTCCTCGGCTGGCTTGCCACCCCAGCCCAGGCAGCTTCAGGTCAGGCTCCTGAAGCACTGAGTGCAGCTACAGAGGGAGCAGCGCTGGGCTGGAGGGCCTGTCCCGTCCATGGCAAGGGCACAAGGGCTGGTCAGTATCTTTCCAGTTCCCGAGCTGAAGTCCTGCAAGCATTCATGGACTCCTGCATGCCGCCTACTCCCTTCTTCAGACTGACCCAGCACGGTGGCAGGTGAGTCGGCCTGAGCACAGGTGCAGCCTGAACACAGCGCTGACACGCAGATGGGGCCTGGGGGACCAGCACGTGCTGGCTGGCGACAAGCCCCAGGCCCACAATAAGCAGGCCATAAGCTGCTTGGGCTGCAGGAAGCCACCATCTGCCAGTCCCCAGGGCCTGGACGGCAGGGTCAGAGGCTGGCCAGGGAAGCCACGGTGCCCCTGGGCCTATCTGAGGTGGGGCCCAGACAGACCAGCACAGACCTCTCCCCAGGATTGTCTCTACCAGGCCTGGCTCTGACAGCCGTGACCATTTAGAAAATGTGTCACGACACCTGAGCATCCAGACTCCCCCAGTCACCATGCCCCACCACATCTGCAGCTTCCCCGCAGGGGCAAGGACCGCACTGTAAGCCTGGGCTAAGCGGTTTCCCGGGGCAAATGCACCTGGATGCGTTTGGCACCCACATCCAAGAAGCCACTTTGGTACAGACCACAGAGCAGAGCAGAGGGGACAGACGCGCAGGTGGGGACGGGACAGGAGAACCCGTCTCTACGAGGAAGGCAGTTTGGTATGGCACGCCTGGTAACAGGGAGACAGGCCATAGGGTCCCAAGGCCCAGGGCATCCCTCCCTGCATGGCAGCAGTGCCATCCCGCCCCTGAGTGCTCCGGGATTCCCTGCCAAGAGCTTCAGGACGTAGGGAGCCAGAACGTCCCTCCAACCGGGCCTCTCCACACCTCGGAAACCAAGTACAGGGAAGTAGACGCGCAGCCGCTTTTTTTTCCTTTTTATTATGAAAACAAAACAAAACAAATGCCCCGGGAGAAGGGCCCATGATTACCAGGAACATCGAAGCGTACTTTCTATCGTCTTTATTCTGTTGTGTTGAGGCCAGCATTGCAATAAACAAGCTAAAACTACTTACATTGGACTCATTTTCAGTAACTGACATTTACAGGAATATACTAGAAACGGCACTAAAAAGTTTAAGAAAAGTTACGGTAAACTTGCATGCACATCATACAGAAAAGTAACATTTTAAATATAAAAAAGAAAAACTGGAAGTCTTATGCCAGAATTTAGAACAGCACGGAACTGGACGTGGTAAACCCTGCAGTGGGCTGGATTTCTGGCCGACCGGAAGGCATGAGTGCAGCACACGAACAACGAAAACAAACGAAAGGGTCTTAGGGCAGGAGTGGGTCCACCCCAAGGCCTGCCCCTGCCTCCAGGGCTCATCGGGAGGGTTCTCGAATCCACTTCCTGCACGTGACCGACCGCGTGTATGCCTGCTCCTGTCGGAAAAGGCACGCAAGCTGCCCTGCCGCCCGGGGTGGGGGACGTCTGTGCTCCCGAAAACTTAGAAGGGAAATGAGTTGGCGTCTGGACAGAAAGCCTTAAGACACAGCACCAGTGACCCCGCTGCTGGGTGTGGACGGCAGCCCTGGGTGGCTGAAGCAGCCAGTAACTCTGGGCAGACGGAGCTGGGGTGGAGCAGACCCTGCTGGCACGGAGAACCAGGGGTGACACGTCCCTACCGCCCACCGCAAAGCCAGACGCTTCCCTACCTGATGTACACGCAGGGCCCTTGCTGCCCTGCAGCTGAAGAAGGGTGTGAGAGCATCCCCACCCCAAGCACCCGGCTCAGGTGTGAGCACCACCCGGGCGTGCCTCACCACACGTGGCCGAGCAGACCCTGCCTGGGACCTATCAGTCCTGTCGTGTCTTAATTGCTTAAATACCCACTAAAGATCTGCTTAGAAAATATCTGAAAAACAAGGGTAACTGTAAAAAATGGGAGCTTTAAAATCCACTGTTTTTTTGTTACAAATCAAATTAAAAGTTAAACTGGCTGAAAACTTGCCAACTGGCGTCAGAATCCCCCACCCTTAGAAAACTGAGACTCTGCTACCCACCTCCCCCCCCCCCAAGGGTTCTTCCTCCTCAGGTAGGTCTGCAAGGACTGGCAGTGGGATCTGAAGCCATCTCGTGAGTTTCAAGTGTGCCACATGTCAGGACACAACAGGTCCCCGTGTGCCTCCACTGAAAGCACTGAGCCCCGGTTGGAGGCCGGGCTGCCCCCTGCTCCGCACCCAGGACCACCTAAGGCCCCCTCCCAGGGAAGGGGCTGGAGGAGGCCCTGCACTAGGGCAGTCCCTCTCAGGCTCACTGCAAACCGCAGCACTGCACAGCCTGCAGGCACACGCACCCCCAGCAGCCAGACCAGGGCAGCCCACCCAGCCCGGCCCCAGCCAGGCCCCAGCACTGGCCCCAAGCACAGGCCGTGCCCACCCGCGGGCCCGAACCGCAGAGCCTACACTGTGGCCCCACCCAGTCACCGCGCTCAGAGCAGCCTGGGCAGCCCAGGATGTCCCTACACTCAGAGGCCACGTGGCAGCCTCTGGATTTTTTCAGGTTTTAATTTTATCTTTTATATTATTACTTTTTACAATAGAAAGTTAGAAATCAAAATGTAGATTCACTATACACTCTCCCCCTCTCGGATTACAAAGTTTATGTTATATAACTGGGGTTTTCTAACTTGATTTCTTTTAAAGCAGTCCTAAAGAGACCGGAAGTGAATACAAAAGAACCAAACAAAATAAAAATTACAATGTGCTGTAGCTGAAGGTTGTCTAGACCTGTAAGTCTCCAAATGTCATACAAAAGGAAGAGAAAAAAAGAAAATGAACACACACACACGCACACGCAACCCCAGCAGACCCGGGGAGCACGCAGACACGGTTGAGCACCAGCACAGGTGCGAGGCGAGCACCTGGAGGCGAGGTCCTTCAGGGCCAGCACCGAGCCTGCCCATCCAACTGCCGCAGGCCTGCATCTCTGCTCTTCCTTTAAATGCGTTTCTTTATGGTTTTTTTTCTTTTTTTTTTCTTTTTTTTTAAAAAAATGACCAATGATGTTAATAAATAAAGTATTTATATATACACAGGCTAGGGCGTGGGTCCAGGAGTGCGGCGGCGGCAGCGAGGGCAGCGCTAACAGGCTGGGACGCACACCGGACTGGACTTCGTAAAAAATTGCTGAGCCTTACAAAAAAGTCTCCTTTTTTTTTTTTTTTTTTTTTTTTTTTTTCAAGTTGAGGTAAAAGCTTCAGTGTATGGGAATCCGCCACAGCACGTGCAGCCTGGCGCTCCCCACCAGGAGCTCCCGACGTCACGGCGCTCAGAGAACCTCCACGTCCTGCCGGCGTGCCCTCCCTCGGCACCTCCCAACACACGGTGCTCCGAGCAGGCACAGCTGTCAATCCTCAGGTGACGTCGTCGGACACGGGGGTAGAGCCCGGGACCCCGGTGACCACAGACGCGTCTGCAAAGCCTACAGCGCTGGCAGCAGCCCGTCTGCGAGAACTCTCCTCTGGAAAGGTTCCTCATGGAGTGAATGCACCGGGCTAGGCAGGGGCCTGGCGAGGACCGTCCGGTGGCACCTCCCACGGCGTCTGCAGCAGTCTCCAGCCCCTGAGCTTAGTCACGGGAAGCCTTTCCGTGGAGCTCCACCTCACAGCCCACACCCACGCCAGGCCTCTGCCGGGGAGCGGGTGCAGAGCCGTGACACTGGAGAGAAAGGAAAGCCTGCACACGTGGAGCCAAAGCGTGTATTAGCCAGAGAGGGGCCGCTGCAGCGCGGCCGCGCCGTCCCGCGGGCCGTCCTCCGCCGGCCAGGCTATTCTGAGTCGCTGCTGTCGGCGCAGGATCCGCTGGGACCGCTGCTGCCGAAAGTGTTGCTGCTGCTCAGCCGGGAAGGCCCGCCAGAGGCCGCCGAGGCGGCTTTCTCTACAGGGAACAGGGCATAGGCGCTCACTGCCCGCCTGTGTGCGCATGCCCTCGCGCTCCACCCACGCTGCGTGCACACCACCCCCGAGTCTTGGCCAGTCATCCGCTATTTGTTGACATGGATTAATGCGGTCAATGGGATTATCTACGTATGTTCAAGGTGGGAAAATGAATACGGTCCCCAAATGGGAGTGGGTGGGACATGGAAAAAGGTTGCCCTGGCAGCTGTATGGTCACGAGGCTGAGGCTGGTGAGCCCCCACCCTGCCCTGGGCCCAGGGAAACAGAAGGAGCCTCCCCTCAGCCTCCCACAAAACTCCACCTCAATGCTGAGCAAACAGGGTGCCCCGCGAGGCGAGAACCCCCAGCTGGTGCACCCACCTCTGACTGCCAGGCCTGTGTGTCTGAGCACCAGCAGGACCTTGCTGTCCCCTATGTGCCACCAGGGGAAAGGTATCTGCTCTTCCCTACAGGCCCCGGGGGAAGGAGGAAGGGTCAGACAGCTGCTCAGTTGTACAGCAGGGCCAGGCCAGGGTCAGCCCCTCTGCTGCCCAGTGGGGCATGCAATTTGCATTCCTTACCAGAAGCAGTCCAAAAGCCTGCTGTAGGGGCTGGGGGCTGCAGGGGTTGCCCGGGGGCTAGTGGCTGCAGGCTGCCTGGGGCTGGGGCTGGAGCTGGCAGTCAGACCAGCCGGGGATGGAGGAGGGGAGGAGGCTACTCCCTCCCAGCCTCACTCTACCTACAGGAGCCCTTTCCCACAGCTCTCTACACACGCCTCACATCTGCCTGAACCCACACAAAGCAGGGCTGTGGCTGGTTTACAGAGAGGGACCTGGAGGTGTGGGAGGGGCAGAGCCTTGAGGGAGACAGAACTGGCCATGGTGGAAGCACAAACATGGGCTGAGAGCCACCAGCTGCCGCCCTATGTGGACAGACAGCGGCTGTACCTTTCTTGGCGGGCTTCTTGTTGCTCAGCTGCCCGCTGACATCTTGCAGTCGCTTCTCCAGCTCCTTCTTCTTTTCCTGAGCTAACTCCTCCTTTGACTTGGCCACCTGCTTTCTGCTGCTTGTCGCTGTGATGGGAGCAGAACAGCACTGAGACCACAGCGAAGCCAAGGGCCCACACGGGGCCTCCCCACGCAGCCTTGCTCCCCTCGGCTGCCCTGGGAGCCAGGCTGCGCCCCGTGGCCCAGGCCTCACCCTACACTCCAGTGTGTGCACCACCCGCCTAGCCCAATGGGCCCCTGTCGTCGCAGCTGCAGAGGTGTGGCCCAAACTCTGAGGGGCAAAGATGATACTCAAGATCTGGCCTCAGGACCGGCCGATAGTGCTAGGGCACTGGACCACACATGTCTGACCGTGGCTGGCTCTCTCATCTTCCCTTTCTCTCTGGTCAAATTAAGAAAAAATAAGGGCTTCTTGTTGCTCAGCTGCCCGCTGACATCTTGCAGTCGCTTCTCCAGCTCCTTCTTCTTTTCCTGAGCTAACTCCTCCTTTGACTTGGCCACCTGCTTTCTGCTGCTTGTCGCTGTGATGGGAGCAGAACAGCACTGAGACCACAGCGAAGCCAAGGGCCCACACGGGGCCTCCCCACGCAGCCTTGCTCCCCTCGGCTGCCCTGGGAGCCAGGCTGCGCCCCGTGGCCCAGGCCTCACCCTACACTCCAGTGTGTGCACCACCCGCCTAGCCCAATGGGCCCCTGTCGTCGCAGCTGCAGAGGTGTGGCCCAAACTCTGAGGGGCAAAGATGATACTCAAGATCTGGCCTCAGGACCGGCCGATAGTGCTAGGGCACTGGACCACACATGTCTGACCGTGGCTGGCTCTCTCATCTTCCCTTTCTCTCTGGTCAAATTAAGAAAAAATAATAAATAAAATTAAATAAATAATTCATAAGGGGGGAAAAGGTCCGGAACAAGCACTTCCCACGTCTGCGCCCTCAGGCTCAGGAAGCCCTCAGTGCTCAGGTGCAAAACCTTTCCTAGCCTCCTGAGAACTTCCGGTGGGACAGGCCTTTCCCAGCACAGACAGGTACACAGGGACACAGCTGGGCTGGCTGCCCAGGTGAAGGGCGGAGCTGGGACTGGAAGCCTGGACCCTCCAGTGACTCCGTCCTTCCTCACAATGGCTATGAAGCTGTGCAGCCCTAGAACTCAGTCTCCACCACCTGACACTCCTCCGTCACCACCCCTAAAGTTGATGGGTGACTTACCACGGGGCAAATTCACCACGACGGTCACACAGACACTCAATCCAAGCAGACAAGGCTGCTCTTGCAGAGTGAGGGTCAGGCACACCCACACGGCCACACTCAGTCCACATGAGCCTCCCCCCTGCCCCGTCAGTCTGCAGGGCTGCCTCCCTCCCAGCCCCCAGCACTGTAGACCCAGGAAGTGACTTGTTCCTATCAATGCAGTCAGGGACCCCAGGAGTGGGTAACCCAGGCCAGTATAGGAGTCAGTCCTGTGAGGCCTCTGGCCACTCGCCCCCCATCAGTGAGGGGTCCTTGTCACTAGGAAGCTGCTCTTCTGTGGCAGCAACACCAGTGACAAGGTCCTTACCCGGACCCAAGCGAGTGGCGTGGCTAGCGCCGGGTGGGCCCAGAGTCCTGCCCGCCCTGGACAAGGCACGGGCCAGGATGCAGGTGCTACCAGTCCCTGAGAGCAAGGAGGAGGGCTCTGGCCGGGTGTGCTCAGCTGGGTCCCTAGGATGGGAGGTGAGCACGTGCAGGTGTCCCATGCTCGCTCCAAAGGGGCTGCAGGGAGTAAGAGGAGGAGAGAGGCTCTGAGCTCCGCACTCGACCCAGACAACTTACAGAATGGTTTCCTTTGCTTTTTCTGTAAACAAGACTTCACGTATCGCTCCAGTTCCCGCAGAGTGGTGGGTTTCAGAGTCTCAAAGTCGATCTCAATCTCGTCGGGGTTGGAGTCCCTGAGTGAGGGCTCCCGGGACTGGATGATGTGCACCACGCGCCCGAGCTTCTCGCCGGGCAGCCTGTTGATGTCCAGGCTGAGCTGCCGCTTCTCGTCGTAGCTCATGGGCAGGCCTTCTTCCTCCTCCTCCGAGTCATAGGAGGCCGACGCCTGCTTGCTGCCTTTCTTCAGCTGTCTGGGGAAGAAGTCAAAGAGCCACATGGCATCAAGTCCCACTCACCAGCCCTGGGGCCTGCTACCCACCCTTCCTTGCTCTCCTGTTCACCAGAGGCTGCTCACTAGGCCCAGGCTATCTCCCTAAGGGTGTGCCCAAAGCAGTGCCCAAGGCGCAGAAGCCAGGCAGACTGTCTGAGGGTTCAAATATGTCTGCCAGTGAAGGGGAGGACCCTGCTTCAGAGATCAAATGGCTGCTCCTGGTCAGGAAACAACTGCACAGCCAGCTCCTCTGCACGTCCCACAGGCACCTCAGGCTCAGCAGGCCAAATAGTGATTTAAATATTCATTAACCCAAAAGGAGGCAGTAAAGGGGAACAAAAGAACCAAAACTAGGAACAGAAGATAATAAAATGGTAGACCAAAATCCAATTATATTGTTAATTACATGAAACGTAAATGATCTAAACATACTAACTAAAAGAGATGGTCAGGTTGGATAAAAGGCATGGTGTCTACACAAACCCCACTTCAAATACAACACTATAGGTCGATTAAAAGAAAAAAGAAGAAGAAAACGACACCATACAAATACTTATCAAAAGAAAGCTGGAGTGGCTATATTAATTTCAAAGGAGACCTCAGAACAAGGATTACCATCAGGAAAAAGGACTCTGCATAATGATTAAAAGGGCAAATTAACCAAGAACACATCACAACCCAAAATATATTTAAAAACTAAGCTTCAGGACCAGCAGATGGCATAATGGTTATGTTGCTGGACTCCCACGTAGTCAACTGCAGATCGAGTCTTGGATACAGCAGCTTAAAACTCACACAAGACATGTATGTGTGTGTGCCCAAAACCCCAAGAGTGGAGGAGAAGGGACTGAGGCATGGCCATCCCCCTGGGGGGTGATTTCATGCTTTCTGTCTCTCTGTCTCTTAGGCAAGCATGCACACCCTATAGCAAAAATGTCTCCCTGCTCACTCCCCCCAAAAGAGTTAAAAAAACAAAACAAAACAAAACAAAAAACTAAGCTTCAAGACACAGGGAGCAAAAACTGAAAAAAAACTAAAGGGAAGATTAGGGTAGGCCCCATGGTTTCATGGTTAAGGGAACCAGGCTCCCTGACCAACCCCAGTTTGAATCCCAACCCCAGTGGCTTGAAAAACAGGCCAGGTGCATGTTTATTGTGCTCCAAACCCTGACAGGAGGAAAGAGAGGAGACTGCAGCATGACCACTTCTTGTTAAGGGTGGGTGCTTTGTTCCTCTCTGTGGCGAATGTATATACCCTCTGGCATTAAAACAAGAGCAAAAACAACCAATAAATAAATAAATAAATGCAAAGGTGAAGGTCTGAGAAACCACCGCCAAGCTGGGAACTGGGAAGATGGCCGAGACTGACCCCAGGACCATGTAAGACCTGACCTCTGAGGAGCAGACTCTCCTGCAACAGATGCAAGATCAATTCCAGACCATGTCTGACCAGATCACTGGGAGAATTGATGATATGTGTATTCACATTGATAATCTGGAGAAAAACATTGCCAACCTCATGACACAGGCTGGGGCAGAACTGGAAGGTGAAAACAAAATGCCCGCCACACAGAAGAGCTGAAGTTTGCCAATATTTTTTTTTTTTTTTTTTGGAGATTTTTGCTATAGGGCGCGTGCGCTTGCCAGGCAGAGAGAGACAGAGAGACAGAAAGCGAGAAATCACCCCCAGGGGGGATGGTCACGCTGCAGTCCCTTCTCCTCCATTCTCCTCTCGGGATCTTGGGCACGCATGCACACGCGCCCGGCATGAGTTTTAAGCCACCAGGTCCGGGACATGAACCGCGGTCGACTACGTGGGAGGCCAGCGACATAGCCATTACGCTAACTGCTGGTTCCCCCAATAATTTTTTTTTAAGAGAAAATTTTTGCTATAGGGTGCAAGCACTCACCAGAGAGACAAAGGGACAAAGTGAGAAATCACCCCTTGATTTCTCAGGGGGGTAGTGGCCACGCCACAATCCCTTTCCCCCCATTCTCCTCTCAGGATTTTGGGCACACACTCACACACACATGGCATGAGCAGGACCCGAACTGCGGTCGATTACATGGGAGTCCAGCAACGTAACCATTACACCATCTGCTGGTCCCCAAATTTGCTAATAATTGACACTGAAATCTGAAACCCCAAGAGGAGACCAGATGGCTCCATGTAGACATGTTTTATATTATAAAGTATGCATTCTTAACCATGTATTATATTGGGAGTTTAAAGAGTGACCCCACCCCCATGTCTTAAACATGTTATCTTCACATCTCAGGTCCTGGAAAGTTGTGCTATTAATTTCTTTTTATAGAGAGATTTTTGCTATAGTGTGCACGTGCTCGCCAGGGAGACAGAAAACAAGAAATCATCCCTCAGATGGGATGTCCATGCCACAATCCCTTCCCTTCCAGTCTCCTTCTGGGATCTTAGGCGCACGCGCGCGCGTGCGCACACACACACACAGACACACACACACACTCCTAGCATTAGTTTCCAGCCACTGGGTCTGAGACTCGTACTGTGGCAAACTGTGTGGGAGTCTAGCGACATAACCATTACACCATCTGCGGGTCCCAGTTGTGCTATAACTTATTAAACACTAAAACTTTGGCAGAAGGGAAAAAAAGGAGACAAAATATGTATATTTTTAAATCCAAAGTTATAGTTGGAAAGTTCAATAATTCTGCCTTGGTAATGAATAAAACAAGTTAGGGGACCAGCAGGTGGCGTGGTGGTTAAGGCGCTGGAGACTCCCGTGTGACCAATCACAGGTGAGTCCCACACCTGGTGGTTTGTTTTCTCACTTTCCCTCTCTCTCAATCTCTGTGTGTGTCTCTCTGGTCAAAATAAGCGAATGAATAAAAAAAAACTTAAACCTTTAAAAATATAAATAAATAAAAATAAAACAAGTTAGTCAGCCCAGAGCAGAGAAGACCTGGAAAACACTCTCAACCAAGCTTACCCAACTGACATGTGTCTCTGTCTGTCTAGATGCTAAGATTTTGTTCCCTAATTGACAACATAATACTCTATGCAACAGCAGAGTACATATTCTTTTCAAGCGGGCATGGAACACTCACCAAGCTAGACCGTATTCTAGGCCACAAGACAAACTTTATTAACAAGTTTCAAAGAACTAAGATCACGGGACCAGCAGTTACCATAATGGCTATGTCGCTGGATTCCCATGTAGTTGACTGCGGTTCGTGTCCTGGACCCGGTGGCTTAAACTCATGCCAGGCACGTGTACATGCGTGCCCAAGATCCTGAGAGGAGATTGTGGCATGGCCATCCCCCCTGGGGGGTAAATTCTTGCTTTCTGCCTCTCTGTCTCTCTGTGTCTTTCTGGTGAGCACATGTACCCTATAGCAAAAACCTCTCCAAAAAAAAAAAAAAAAAAACCACTAAGATCAGTGGCATAGTGGTTTGGTCTCCCACATGGTTGACTGTGGTTCGAGTCCAGGGCCCAGCAGCTTGAAACTCATGCCAGATGCGTGTGCATGCGTGCTTAAAATCCCAAAAGGAGAATGGAGAAGGGATTATGTCATGCCCAACGCCCCTGACGGGTGATTTCTCACTTTCTCTCTGTCTCTCTGTCGAGTACGCATGCCCTACAGGAAAAATCTCTCTTAAAAAAAAAGTACTGAGATCATGAAGAGAATGTTCTCTGGCCCTAATGGAATTAAACTAAAAATCAATAATAAAAACACATCCAGAAAATGCCCAGACAGTTGCAAATTCAACAACACAACTCTAGTGAGAGTGAAAGTAAGAAACCACCCACAGGGGTGGGAGGGAGGGGAGCCACTCCATAATCCCTTCTCCTCCATTCTCCTACTAGGATTTTGGGCATGCATATATATGCATCCAGCCACCAGATCCAGGATTTGAACTGTGGTCAGCCACGTGGGAGTCCAACACCCTAAACCAGCACGTCACCTGCTGGCCCCAACAAAACAACTCTAAATACCCACTGGTCAAAGGGGCCAGCAAGCAGTGTGGTGGTTAAGGTGCCATACCCTGCATGGCCCATTCCACAGTTCAAGTCCTTAGACCGGAAGCCTGAGAACACAGGTACGTGTGTGTGCATACCTAACATCCCAAGAGAAGAATGGAAGACAAGGGACTGAGGCACAGCCATCTCCCTGGGGGTGGGGGGTGATTTCTCGCTTTTCTTTTCTGCCTCTCTGGCAAGCACATATACCCTACAGCAAAACATCTTTAAAAAAAAATAAAAAAAGCTTTTAAGTAAGTGAAAATGAAATCATATCATCAGACCTGTGGGCTGCAGCTAGAGCAGTGTCCAGACGGCGATTTACAGTATTAAACGCTCATGAGAAGGAGGCCTCGCATCAGTGCTCTAGCATCCGCCTGAACAGCTGGCAAACAGAGCAAACCAAGGCTAGAGCACGCAAAAGTAAACAGTGAGGGCCAGAGCGGGACAAAAGCGAGAGCAGAGAAAAAGAAATGAAATAAAAATGCTGGTTCTTTGAAAGATCAAATTAATGAATCTCAGGACCAGCAGTTAGCGTAATGGCTGTGTCGCTGGACTCCCATGTAGTCAACCGCAGTTCGTGTCCCAGACCCGGTGGCTTAAAACTTACGCCGGGCGCGTGTGCGTGTGTGCCCAAGATCCCGAGAGGAGAATGGAGGAGAAGGGATTGCAGCGTGGCCATTCCCCCCGGGGGGGGGGGTTGATTTCTCGCTTTCTGTCTCTCTGTCTCTGTCTGGCGAGCGCACACACCCTATAGCGAAAACCTCTCCAAAAAAAAAAAAAGATGAATGAATCTCTATCCAGAGTTACCAAGAAAAAAAAAAAAAGATGCAGATCGGCCAGCCCGATCGCCCACTGCTAAGGCAGCGGGGTGCCCCGTGGCTGAAGATGGTGTGGGTCCCAGCCTGGCACGTGGGGCAGGCCCTGAATCAGCAGGAGGGAGAAGTGGAGGAGGGGCTGAGCGGTTACTCTAGCCTACCAAGGGCCCGCCCTCTCCTGATGAGCACACCTGTCCTCTTACAATTATAAAAAAGACACGTCTCCACAGGCCCTACAGACATTGACGAGTAGTAAAGGAACCTACGAACCTGCGTCTGAGAATTTGACGGCCGCGGGACTAGAGGGGGCCGGGGGAGGCACACACTCACTCGCTCAGGAAGAAACCGGTAGCTCAGCAGCCCCTTGGACTGAAGTCTGAAGCAGCCTCTACTAGCCCAGACTCCAGGTCCAGAGGGCTTCGCTGGTGAGCTCTATCAAACATCTAAAGTTAATCCGTCCCGGAGCCGGCAGGGGGCATGGAAAGGCACTGGATTCCCACGAGGACAGCTGTGCAGGTTAAGGCCCAGACGTGGTGACTACAAAGTCACAAGGGGTCACGTGCGTGTGTGCCTCGGAGAGTGGAGAAGGGACTGCGGCGTGGCCACCCACCCTGGGTAGGCTGGGGGAGTCTCACTTTCCCTTTCTCTCTGTCTGCTGAGCGCACGTGTCCTACAGCAAAAACAAAACAACGAAAACCGTTTTCTTCACTCATCAGAGCGTGTGCACGCCCTGTGGGTGGGCCCCTCCTCGGGGTCTGGTCACATCGCCCCCTTTCTCCAGTCCTCTGGCCCATCGGATCGTGGTCATGTGCACACGTGCCCAGATGTTTCGGGTGGGACCAGGTCAGGGATGTGAACCAGGGTCACTGTTGGGATCTTGCCCACTTCTCTGAAGCACTGTGCCATGCTGGACCTGAAGCTGACCACGGTGCACTTCTTGTACTGGCCCTCGTCACAGTGGATGAGCACGGCTCACCGCAGACACCGCGGGTCTGAGCTCTGCCGGGCCATTTCGATGCAACCTTTTTTTTCCCTTCAAAAAATAAGTTGGATGGGGCCGGCAGGTGGTGGTGGTTGACGGCACTGGACTCCCACATGGCTGACCATGCTTTGAGTCCCAGACCTGCTGGCTTGCTTTCTTGCTTTCCCTTTCTCTGTCTCTGGTCAAATTAAAAAATGATAATAGGGGAGCCGGCAGGTGGCATGGTGGTTTAAGGCACTGGACTCCCACATGGCTGACCACAGTTCAAGTCCCAGACCTGGAGGCTTGTTTTCTTGTTTTCCCTCTCTCTCACTTTGTCCCTCTCTGGTCAAATTAAAATAAATAAATAAATAAAGTTAAACAAAATAATTATTTAAAAAAATGATTAATAGAAATGGAATTAAAAAAATAGTAATCGTTTTTTAAAAAGTTGGAGGACCAGCAGATGGCATAATGGTTATGTCACTGGACTCCCACATAGTTCATTGTGATTCAAATCCCAGAGCTGACAGCTTAAAACTCATGTCAGATGCGTGTGCGTGTGTGCTCAAAATCCAGAGAGGAGAATGGAGAAGGGATTGTGGCATGGCCATGCCCCCAGGGGGTGACTTCTCACTTTCTTTCTGTCCAGTGAGAGCACACACCTTATAGCAAAAATCTCTCTTCAAAAAAAAAAAAAAAGAATCAGATTTCTGACTATATAGGGGGTCAGCACCCCTAAACCCTGTGTTGTTCAATGCTCAGGGGTTCACTAGCTGTACATCCCACCCAATGCATTTCAAAGGCCAGCCGTATCCTGCTATCAAAACCAGAGAAAAACCAATCTATCTTCCTCCAAAAAGATGGGAAAGGGAAGGAGAAGAAGGGAGGGAGACCCTGACCACTCACTCAAGGCCTCGTCGAGTGGCCTGCCCAGCCACCCAGGCTCAGCTGCAGGGTGCCTCATGTCCTCTCTCGCATGTTCCAAAGCCCCAGGCCAGTCCCCTCCGCCTGGCTCTCCCAGCGTTCTCTCTGCACTGCCACACCAATGTCCTCAGCCTGCCACCCCCACGGGGGGTATCCTGGCTCCCACTGCTGCCCCACGAGCCCACCTCCACAGGGCACTGACCACTCTGCGTGTGCTCGACCTCAGCACCTGCAGCCCACCTGCCATCCCAGCAGGCCCCAGACCGTGGCGCCACTGTGACCTCACTCCCACAGGGAACCCTCTGGGCCTATGGCTCTGCTCTGGCTACCCTCTTCCTGGACCCCCCTTCCAGACCCTCTCCAGGCCTGCTCCTGCTCCTGTGCAGCTGTACCTCCTCCAAGGCCCCCCATTCTCCTGCCAGGTGAAGCCCCAGCCCTCCTAGGCTGGGAGTGCCTGGGGCAGGGATCCTACGGTCGGTGGCTGAGCCTAGCACTAGCCATGGAAGAAGGTCAAGAGGCCCAGGTCTGGCTCGGTGTCTAGCCACAATTCCCCCAGGCCACAGAGCGCCTAGCAACAATCCTTGGCCCAGAGCAAAAATCAGCCCCAAACCTCTGAGAAGCGGAGGTCTTCGCCAGGCGTGAGATCGAGGCCACTGCTGATGGCTACACCGCGGCCCAGAGGTCGAACCACCCACCAGGGGCCTGGAGGTCCTCAGCTGCCCCCCAGGCTCCCCCACCCCACGTCTCAGCGCAAGCACAGCAGCCCTCCTGCGCGCTGAGGCCGAGGCTGCAGCGGGGCCCACCTGCTGGCCGCGGTTGTGCTGCTGGCCTTCTTGGTGGGCGCCTTCTTCTGCTGGGCTGGCTTGGCTGGCGGGGCCACCTTGGCCTTCTTCTCATCCTCGGACTTCGCTTTGTGCTTGTCCTTGTCCTTGTCCTTGTCCTTCTTCTTCTTCTCCTTCTCCTTCTTCTCCTTCTTCTTCTTTGGTTTGTTCACTGGGGCCTGAGACAGGGCGGCCAGCTGCTCATGCACGGCCTTCAGCTGGAAAAAGGCAGGCGGCTGAGTGGGGCTTCCGGGGGCCCCACGGGAGCGGGGTGCTGAGCCAGGAGTCCTGGCGCCTCTCTGCCCCAGTCCCGTGTGGCCACCAGCAAGTCGTTCAAGCATCTTGGCCTTGGTCTCCTCAACTGCAACAGGGACAGAGCACCCGCCTCCTAGGTGGCTGTCAGGGCCACAGGCCTAGCATGGGATGTGGCCCAGCAGGGGGACATGGCCCAGTAAGACAGTGGCCCAGCAAGGGGAGTTACCTGGCAGGGGGAGGGGGCCCAGCATGGGACATGGCCCAGCAGGGAGAGGCAGCCCGGCATAAGGAGGTGGCCCAGCTCAGGGAGGCAACTCAGCTTGGGGAGGAGGCCCAGTGGGGACTTGGCCCAGCATGGGGACGTGGCTAAGCAGGTCCTCGACAACCTCAGCTACTACTCTGTGACTAGTTATGGTTTCTTAGAGGAGAAAGACTTTGGAGGTCCGGGTGTCTGTACAAGAGAGATTCCCAACAGCCACTTCCAGGCAGCGTCTGGCTAGTTGGGGCTGCAGGACTTTGCGGCCAGTGCTTAGCTGGTGTCCAGCCTGCAGGGGGCAGCATGCTAAGTGCTTTCTCTGACTCCGGTCAGCAGCCACCTCCAGGGCCTCCCGAAAGGCGAGGGCACAGCCTGACCCAGCCTTCGGGTGGCCCATGCAAGGCCATGTGCTGGTGGGTGGAGGAGGTACGGCTGTGGGAGGGACCCTGCAGCCCTGCGGCCATAGCCTATCATCTCAAAATCACATGTGCAGCCCTGTACCCACAGCCTAGCCCCTCTGCAGCCCCTGCCTGGCTGGCACCACATCCCTCCTGACACAGCAGCTCTGCGTCCTCTGCTCCCTGCCCAAGGTCTGGAAAGTGCTGGCCATCTGCCAGGTCCCCAAGAACAGTTACAACTCTCTGACTGCATTATTAAGATGACCCAAACAGGGATGCCCATTCCCTGCTGCATATGAAGGGGGCTGACAGGTGGCAGGGGCAGCGGCAGGACCCTTGGCACCCACACCAGGGCCCACCACGTGGCAGCCCCGCGCGC